GCTGACGTAGTTAGCTCCAGTAGTAAAAACCTGCCGGTTTAAGTGCATTTGTGGTGCCATCTATGGAGGTTGAACAAGGCAGCTGTCAAACAGCGTCAGTCACATTCACCAAGGCTCCAAACCGGTTCAACGTGATTGATTCGATCTAGAAAAACTCAGTACATGTAATTGTGACAACTCAGTCTGAGTCTGCATGCAAGACCTAATTTAGTGGAAGGTTTTCGATTGGAGTTGACAGATAGTCAACTGTGGTTAGGCGCAGAGTTTAAGCTAATCCCGGCCACCCAGTGGAGTGAGCAAGTGGTTGACCTCCACAGATTAGGTTGTCCGGGATACGTGTTACTCATTTCACCAGATAGATTGCCACACAGTGCTAGGTTGTCCGAAGTTGGTAGTGGTTGGAAGAACGTTTAACACGATCAAACTAAAACCTGACATGAAGGTATGAGAACACTGGTTGGGAGACTCGGTTATATGGGTCGCTTTTGGCTTCCTCGATGGGGACATCAGGATCAACGTAGACGATGGTTAGATAGCTACGATTAGCTTACTACTTACTCACAGCAATCCATAACCCTCACTAAAATTCGCAGTTAAAATCAAAATGATAATTCAATACATCACTTTCTCCAATCTTCCTCTCCCTTGACTATTTTTTACTGAGATACAAATATCTCTATCTCTTCAAACACTACTCCTCTTCAATTCCCTAATTACCTCCTCCATTTTTCTTCTCTTCTTAAAGTTGGTGTCTGCGCCTATATCCATCATTCTGTTCCTTCTTCCCAACTTACACATCTCGATTTCCCCAACCACGAATACTAGCTTGTGTCTGAAACTGTGACACCCTTCTTTCAACCACTATTTTTGTACTGGTTACCGCTCCCCAACCAGCAGCGATCCTTCTTTTTTTGATACTGTCTTCCGACTTTGAGACATTAATGGCGTCAAACCCTAAAAGCCAAATCATCATTGTCGAAGATTTTAACATCCACAACAAGGGATGACTGAAGCACTCATCAGACACTACGTTCATGGGATGCAAAGCGGAGGCTTTAATTAAGATCACTAGTTAGCTTCCCCACACGCATCCCTGATTGTGCTGGTGACCACACCCACAACCGTGACCTCATTCTCACAAGCACTCCTTCTTATTTCTCCAACATCACTTCCCTTTTCCCCTTAGGTTTATCCGATCATTATTTCCTTTCCTTTCTCACTCATTTATCTCACCCCATTTCAGATGCACCTTTTGGCGTTATGAATCAGTCTAATGGGATACTTTTCATGACCTTGTGGCTTGTTATACCTGGAAGAATTGTTTCGAATCTGATGTTTCCTCCTGTTTCAAACTTCACAGAGGTTTTCCTTCTGAGTACGCATCTTTAAGTTCCACATTTTTCCAAACCCGGCAAACCACGATCTGTTGAGTGGTTTAATCATGCTTGCAACCGTGCTGTACGTTTTAAAAACAATTGATTTTTGACTCGTTGCACCTTCGTTACACAATTTCTTTTTCCATTCTGGGTTTATCCATGAATTATTTTTTCTGCTGGTCTAATTTTATTTCCACAATTACCTCTCGCGCTGTGCGCCGTCGGTTTTGTATTGCGCGCAAACCGTTTCTTTACACCCAAGCACCTTCTTCTTTCACACAAAGTTCCAATCTATCATATGCTCGAATACTGCTGTCACGCATGGAGCGGAACTGCGTACTCCGCTCTTTCCCTCGTCGACAGTGTCTAGCGTAAGGCCATCCGGTTGATCGACGAAACGTCTTCAACTTCCAGCCTGCAGTCGCTTTCCCAACGCCGGACAGTTTCCTCGCTATCTCTTTTCTATTGTTACATTTTTGGTTTTAGCTCCTCCGAACTCGTTTCAGCTGTTCGCCTTCTCTCGATTTTTTCTCGTCTATCTCGTTCTCAGGCGG